CTCTTCCTAATACTGTACATGGAAATGAACTGCGTAAAATCACCTAGAAACATTAATTTCTGCGAATTGAGATCAATGTAAAATTTGGGAAACCAAGATTTGAAGAAAAAAAAATTTTCGCCTCTGTCCAGTCCCTTTCGTATTGCTATTTTTTATATCCAAAATCTCGTGCCTTTCCTCGAACGTCGACATCCGAAGTTCAATAGAGAAAATCCATTTCGCATGTTCAGACGGAGGTACAAGGAGGTGTGGCTGCTGGCGGAGGAGGTCTCACGTGTCCTGAGCTATCCGCTCCTCCTGACGCTTCTCAGCTCTTTCCTCATCGTTTTCTCCGAGACCTACTTCGTCGTTGCCACGCTTGGGTGTCTGGGATCGCAGAAGCCTCCCTTCTTCGTCGGGGGTGCAGTCATCGAAATTCTCAACCGCACTCTACGGCTCCTGGTTATCGCCTATGGGCCGCAGTTCATCACTTTCAAGGTATAAACAATTATGAGTTTTCGGCAATTGATTTTCGTTAGATTCAACAAAATGAAACATTTCTGGTCATCGATCATATTATGAGTGGGTTCGATATTCGACTTTAAATCTGCTTTCGTTCCTTCATAGGAAACTAAGCAATCTGAAAGAAACGATATCAGAAGTGAAACCTGAATTTTGTCTGATTTTGTTCTATCTCCATCGAGTTTTAATTATGAAACACCTCTTAAGTGAGGGAACACTATGGAATGAATGCAAACCCCGATCCCGTAAAAAGCACTACGTAAAGATAAAACGAACGATAAAACGATAAATCGAATGTGCAACACGAAAACAATGTTGGAAATCCCCCATACATAGGAGAGCCATATATAAACCAAAGTTACAACTTTGGTCGAAAACAAAAGGTGGAAATTACACAGCGGGGACGATACCCGATAAAATAACACTTTGTGTATGTCTGTCGTCACAGAAATATGATAACTTTTCTACATCATATCACTGTTTTGTGTCCGTACCATATCATACGTACAGGCGAAGAAGCTTTACGAGGCTCTCCTCGTTCGGGAGGAAAGAACGGCAGAGATGGAGGATGCCCTCGGCTTCCTGCACGGCCATCCCTTTCGGTTCAGTCTTGGGGGGCAAGTCACGCTCGATCCTGGCATCCTTGTCTCGGTGGGGTTCCTTTCTTCCTTTTTTTTCTTTCGTGGTGTGCTTGGCGAGGACGTCGTTTCCAAATGGTTTTTTTTTTGTGTGCTTCTTCGTCGACTCTGTTTCTGTTAGATGCTGAATGCGGTGGTGACGTACATGGTGATCCTTCTTCAATTTGATTCTACTTCGTCGTGTAGAGCCGTAACTGGAGACTCGTGAACGCACGGATTTGCGAAACCGAGTGAGAAGTTTTCGCCAACGATTTCGTCTCGTCGATCGATTTAATTTGGACCGTACCGATGCGTCGGCAACCGACACGGCACCATGATGCCAAAAGAAAAATATAAAAAAAAGTGAACTGGGCTAGTAGCCGATTCTAAACGGCAACAGGAAAAACGTACGGCTGTATCGAAGAATGGATGGCATCTTCTACAATTGGAGACATGGAAGGTTTCATTACCCGTCGTGAAGGTCACACCCTCTCCCCCCTCTCTTCCCCCCCCCCCTGAACTGCTCGGTGGGTTGCTGGACTATCGATATTTCAAGTCGACACATGGAAGTTTTGGAAACACCCATCGTGACAGCCCTAAAAAAAATAGAATATGGCTTCTTCATGAGACCATTTGAATAAATACGTGATGTAATGGTTCCCCGCCGTTTCTGGACGCGTCACAATCGGCATTGCCATCGGCACCGGCCGACAGGTCGTAATCGGCCATCGGCACAAATTTAATCGGAGACAATTAGCGACGCAGATGCACGCCTCTCGCTCTAGCGGACAGAGCGATGGAAAAAAAATGCGAATCGTTTCGGAGAACTTTCGAATGTTTTTTTCGTGCCGACTTTAAATGATGGAACCTTTGAAACTGCGATCCAGGCTCATTTGTCCCCAGGAATAAAATCCACGAGGCCACGTTACCGTTCTGTACCGTCCGTGTCGGTACGTGTACTGCTCCAAGTATTTAACGGGATGGTGGCGTTTCCTTTTCCTGGTGCGTCGGTGAAAGGACGGTGAATCAAGGCTGTGGGACTTCATTCATCTCGACGGACTTCATTCACAGAGTTCCGCATCTTAAGCCTCGCGAAGTGGCCCGTTTCCAGAAAAAAAAAAGATTCGTCAGGGGCGAATTCCGCAACTAAAACTCAAATTTTAGTTGCCGAATGTGAAATGTCGATGCGACAGGCGACAGTCGCTTCGGCGCGATTCAGTCGCTGCATAAGAAATCGTGCCTTTGGTCACCTTTTCCACGGCCTCGATTTCGCTCGACATTGTTCTGGAGAGCGCGCGAGGGGATCGAGGTGAACTCGACGGGGATCGAGGGAGATCGGGGACTCACGAGGCCGAGGCTCCAGTCGGGCGGGGATCGCGATCCGCCACGGAGGTTCGAGGGGAGCAGGGACCTCGTTCAGGGTTCCATTTTTGGGGTTCCGCTTTCGGGGCGAAGTGGCACGGGGAAGATGGGGCTGTTGACAGGTGGTCTGCACGCTCCTAAAACAATTACATAATTATAATAAAATTAGTATATTTTACTCCGATTGGAACCGTCGGTGATTCAGCGATGAGGACGAGACCCATCTTCTCCGTCAAATTTTTTCTCTCTGACTTGGTTTACCTCATGGAACGACAGTTTTAAAGGGACTCTTTCTTCAGTCGGAAATGTTCAGATAACCGATGGCTTAAAAACAAAAAATTTGCTGGCACCGCGCATTAGCAGAAAGCGAGCGGAAATTGGGAATTTCCGCACGGCATGTCGCAGAGTTGGTGGCGAGGACGCCTGGTGCACGCGAGAAACCGGTTCCGGTGACCGTTCGGTTACGGCTTCCCGGTGACCGTTCGGTTACGCCTTCCCGGTGACGCTCGAGCGAGAAACTTTCCCTGTTTCGACCGGGAGGCTCCCTGCCTTCTTAAAATGGTGGGGGACGGTGAGGGGAGTGGATTCCAAGGTCTAAAGATTTTAGTCGGCATGACAATTAGATCGTTCGCACGATTTGCCAATTTGCAAAATTTTTGCACACGCTCTCTCCTGATGGCACTTTCATCATTTATCATCTGCTTTTTCGAGTGTGCGTGTGAGGAAAGTCTGCTAAAACGGTAACCTGCAGATATCACTCCAGAACTCAAGAGAATTCACAGCTGGTGGCTGCCACGACTCTCTCACGCGTTCAAATCTCTCGTCGAGAAATCTTAGGAGTCTCCAGACTGCCAAGTGCCCTGCAGTATTGTTTCGGGACTCGCGGCAACTGCTGATGACAGTGACGAGACGGGCACGGGTCCCGATGAGGGACTGCACCGCTTCCCTGGACACTCGAAGTTGCATCCAATGGGATTCGAGTGAAAACGAACACGATCGATTCGAGTGCCCTTTTCATCCTCAATCCCTCAGATGAAGAAACAGCTGGTCGATTTTGATGCTTGGGGTTACCAGCGAATGAAATTGCACCCGACATGAAAGAGCTTCTGTCGATGGAGAGGATGAGATCTTTATCGCTTTGTCCCCTGTTGACGGCAGAAAAAGCTTAACGATTCGTGCATTGAAAATTCGTCCCTTTTAACTTCAAGCAGGCCGAAAAGCTCAAGTTACAATATGCAGAGAGGGTTATTCGAATATGAACATGACCCTTTTTGAAGATTCTCCCAAACTGAAAAGAATCAAAGTCGTGCCATCGATGATCACGGCGAAAGTGTTTTGATACATGGCATGCTTTTGATTGACTTGCAGCCAAAAAACCAATTACTTCTGCCCGTTGTCTTTTTGAATTTTTACAGGACAATCGCCAGGGTGAGGTGCAATTGGGTGTCATCTGAGACACACCAACACGATTCATTTACGGTGGTATTTGCGTTGGCAAAAAAATAAGATTTCAGGAAATGAAATTTCACGTTGTATGCTAATACCTCAAATGCAGTCTTTGAATATGAAGAATGATAAAGACTCTATCAGGATTCATTTTTCTGAAGCAAATAGTATTTCTCGCATCCGGCTATCACTCGAAATTCTGTTCCATTTTGTTTGACTCTTCTGTGCTTGTGAACTTCATTAGATCTAAATAAGACATGAGCATGAAAACCAACCGCAGTGTCTTCCCTCATTACCCCAGAACTTGGAGGTGGGGCAAGTTTGCATGATGATGTCATCCGGAAGGGTAGAAAAGTAATCAAATATGGTTCTGCATAATGTACAAGATTTTGTATCAATTTTGGAAGGCATCAGCATTGGAAGTGTAAAGAGATGCTGACCTTATAGATGATGCCACACCATCAGCCGCTAGCAAATTAATATTTTTTAGTATTACCAAGTTTTATTATATTCCAAAGCATAGCTTTTAATGCATTTCGAACTGTGGCTCTCGAAGAACCACAAATTCAGCACACAAGTGGCAATAATACTATCTTTTCAGTTTACAAAGACAGAAATTGAACAGGTTTACTGGATGAGGGAAGGAAAGCCTTTCAACACGTACCCAATTGTCATGGGAGATAAACTTAAAGAGATAAATAAATTCCTTTCTTGTCTCCTTGGGGGGAAACAAAAGGGGACTCCTGTCCCTTTTTGCTACTACTCTCCGAATGCCAATAAGACATTCCTTCATGATATCCAGGCTTCTAAATGAAGTACTGAGTAATATAAGCACACAATAAAGTACTAAGCCAGCAAGTAGCTGCATTTTAAAAATGGTATTACCATTCCAGTTATTGAGTCTTTTGTGTCAGAATACCAATTAACAGAAGACAATACTTAAGACTGCTTCAACTTTTCTCCTCTCTCCAAGGAATTTCCCTGATTCAAAACTGGAACAAAGCACACCATTACTTAAGCTAATACAAAGAAACAAGGCCATCAGCTCCTCCATTATTCTTCCAGATAGAATAATTTCATGGAAAGTGAAATTGATTTATTCAAAGACTTAGACCTACACTGACTTGCACTATGCCTCAACCTCACGACCTCATACAGCCAGTAACATCCTTTTCAAGACATACCATAAACTGCACAGTCATCAGAATTCATGTCGTTCACAAAGTCATACCCTTTGGCATGGAAGCATTTTATTCCTTCTGATATCCCCATCCCCTAAGTCAGAGGCATGAAATAAAAAGGGATCTCAAACAGAATAAATGTCATTAAGCTGCAAAGGCTCACTGCATTACATACCAATGAGACCAGAGAGATGCATCCTCTCCTGCACGTATCCCATCAATATGCATAATTGCTGATGATCACTGCATCAACTAAGCACAGGCACACATACATGTGTGAGGTTAAAGCACAGTGCTCCTCAGAACATTGGAGATCAAAAGCACATAACACACCACATCACTTCCGATTGTCCTTGCCCTTCCGGCGGGAAGAGGATTCTTTGGGTGTCCGACGCATCGCACCGTTACCCGCACGATCTCGTCCTTTACTTCCAGCCAACATGGGATGAACTTCTGCAAGGGAAAACATTCAATGGAGGATGAATAGTCACAAAGCAAAGCAAATGTTCATTTTAACTTCTTATAAATGGATGGGAATCTCTAAGGCTCAAAGACACTGATTGCAGGAAGGTACCACTCACCATTGACTGGTGCCCCATCCAACTCAATGTCACTGACTCTGGGCTTTTTTCTCTTTGGTGATGTGTTTTCATCTTGTTCATGCCCATTCTGCAGACCGGTATTCACAGCGGACTCTTCAGGATCTTCCACATCGGGGGCTGTCGGAAGGAAGAGTAGTTCTCTGGACCCATCTCCCCCACCATCTCCTTCTTCATCAGAGCTGCAAAGGGCCACGATGGGATCGACTCTGCATACATCCACCTTCAGGTAGAAATACATAAATCGAGTCAGATGCCACTAGATTTTCATTGGCAACAGTGTTTCGAAAATAAACTTGCACTGGACCTCGATGTCCTCATGGGCATCATCTGGATTGTTATGAACTGATCTGTCTTCATCATCTGCATCAAACTCAGATTCTCTCTCCTCATATTCCACATTTTCATCAAGCTCTTTGAAGTCAGGGGCAAATGCAGACCAGTTTTCAACTTGATTTTGTGCCCATATACTGACCACACCACTTGACACACTGGCTATGATTGGCCTCAATGGATGCCACTATGAACACAAAACAACATTGCATGAGGCAGCAAAGGCAAACTTCAATGGCAGGAAAGTGAGAAGAATTCAAACACTTCATCCTTACAACAACATCAAGAAGTAGTTCTCCCTTTGTCCCATGAAGAATCTTCACAAGACTTCCCAGACCCCTCTCCCAAATGTAGAGGGAATGCGAGCGACCCGATCCAGCACATACGTACTCTCCATCTCCAGAAAAGCAACACTTCTTCCACATAGTTCTACAACAAAAGATTATGGGAATTAAAGTGGAGAGAATTTGACTCATATTGCTGCTATATTCTATATTCTGAATAAGTAGACTATAGCCAGTGATAACAGTGAGTGCAAGGAGGTATGAACAGGTTTATTTAACATCTGTGCTCATTCTTCTATAAAAAGCTCACCTTATAAGGTGTCAATGAGGGACACCCCTCCCTTGCTCAAGTACGTTTTGATGCCAATGTAGTTCTTGTCTGAATCTTTATCTTTGTTGGAGGGATTGTAAAATGGAGTAATGATGATAGCAAAAGGAATCTACTGAGATTTTCAGCCAATACCATTCCTTCAGCGTCAAAATAAGCAACTTAATAAGTCTCACATATGAAACATGCAAATCTGCTCTTTACTTATCACCAAAATTTCCCCCTTTTCACGGAGTAAGGGTGAGGAATCGCATTTCAGCACATGAAATTTTCAAAGATTATTTACTCAGGTCACAGTCATTGTTTATTGGGTTACAACCAGGAAGAAACAGAGCGTAGGCCAAGAAATTTCCATGCTAGATCCAAGCAGGGAAAAAATGTAGTTTTCATTTAGCAATTAAAAAAAGGATACCATTTCTGAGTCATATCTGCTTGCTTTAATTTCACCAGTAAGCACAAGAATGCCACAAGTTAAAAGGTCCATCCCAAAAAATTGGCAATTACTTCTCTTGACAACAAGTATTCCACTAGCATTATAATGGCTGAAAAACATAAAAAGAATGCCCATATCTCAATTATGCAGAATTTTCAGTCAAGCTTCATTTGTGAAAAAAAAAAGTGGTTTACTATTATTGCCTCCAAACTTATAAAGTACTTCCACTCATTTGATCATATAAATAACATATTCATCCTCCCTAGTAAGTCCTATAATGTAATTCAGAAGCATGTGGGTACATAATTTATCTCACTGGATGACTCCCCAAGATATGCATCACATCATGAGAAACAATCCCCAAGGGATTAAGTCCATACATAATCCATGAGGACCTAATAAGGAATTCCTTACAACACTCACCGGTTCACAAGGTCCTGAAGCTTTTGCAAGGGTTCCGGCTCTGCATCCTTCCCTGCACTTATGACTAATTCTAGATCGTAAACCCGAATCACTCTGTCGGCAGTGTTCACCAGGAAACACCCTGTGCGTCTGGCAACTTCGATCCCCTTCACAGGCTGCTGAGATGATCTGAAGGAGGCTACAGTTTCTAAGTTCTTCACGTTCAGGACCAAGACTTTCCCACGAAAGTTTCCAGTCAGAAGATACAGTCCTCTGCGGTCGTATGCTGCCACGACGCTCCCGGCATCAGCAGAGTTCACTCCAGGTGGCACTTCTTCATCCACGGCTGGGACAATTTTATGCCCCGAGTTGACATTCACCAGTACAGCTGCATGTTTCAATGGACAAACCAGGAATTCCTCATCATCACGAGGATTGAACTGGACCTACAAATGAAACATGACAAAATAGCCCATCATTTTTATAGGATTTTCTTGTGTCTGTTTAATTTCTGCTACTAACAATTACATAGCTTCAAGCAAAAACACATGGGTCTATAATGAACAGTTTGAGAAACAATTTCATCATCTTTTCATTTATATAGCTGTTCCATCTTATTAAGCAAATGGTACAGTAATAAATGACCAACAAAACATTACAAACTAAAAACATGTAGTCATGTTGGAAAATATAAATACACACATTGCCAAGACAATATCATTTTGTTCTTATGGGATGAAGAAAGCTTCAACTTGGGAACTGGAAGAGAAAAGGAAACCTCTCAAACTGCATCAACCTATAGCAAAAGGCTTATAAAAGATGCAATCTAAACTAGGGATTCATCCAATGAATAAACCATAATTATCAGTTGGGATGAGGCATGCTATTGAAAAAAAAGAAGCAATCAGAAAACTCATCACATCATGACCTGACATGTGTCACAACATCCACAATGATGATCATGATAAGATGACAATTTCCTCAGAACTAATAAATTACACACAACAGTTTATTTCTTTTGCGATATTTTTTTAGCTTATGGCAACAAAAACCCTAATTTTTAATAAAAAAATATCTCTGCTCTTACTATTCAAATTTGCAAAAAAACTTGCATTTTGCAAAGACTGACATGCTTGTATGAGACTGGATACATTTAATTAAAAAATCCATCACCACAAAGAATGGTGATGAGCTATTCAAAATAAGTTGGATGTTGAAAATGAACAGGAAGATGAAGGGAGGATGAGCCTTTATGCTGTGGGAGCACATGCAGAGTCTTGTCATCCTGAAGGGGCTGTAGCCTCTGATCACTTTTTAAATTTATTTCCTATTTTTGCTCATAATGTTGCAATAACAGAATAAACTTGCATGAAATTTCAGAAGGGGGTTGAAAATATATCAGTGTGTGCCCAGTGCAAGAGGGGAGGTCTCATTTTACTCCACACTCTAAATATATAGAGAATGATTGAAACTAATGAATTCTGTGAAGAAAGGAAAGTTCCTTCCATAAATAATGAAAGACAAGAGAGAAAAATGGAATTAGATGGAGAAGCAGATGCAGATGGCAAGACAACAGAAGTGCAATGCTTCAGAAATAATATCTGCAAAAGAAACATTTCCACACTTTTCATGACTGGACCTTGATGAGAAAAGGGCATTTTTGTTGCTCCAGTTCTCTCCTGGAGTCAATGGAAAATGGGACATTGTCAAATGTCTCATTACAACGTCAAATCACCACAGCATAAAATTATGAACAAAAGCAAAATGTTTACTGGTCAACAGGTAGTTCCACTTTTTCTCTTGGTTTCAAACACACTGCTTTCTGTGGCAGTTCCACCCACTTTAGCTCAAAAGTTCCCATAAAAATTGTCATATTTTTAAATAAGAAGGCCCAGGCCCCCTGCCTTAGGATGGCCACAGAGAGACTTCCTGAAGCCCTGCACTTCATCCCAGTAATAGTGAATAAGACCAAAATAAAATAATTTTATAAGGGTAATTAGAGGTATTAGCTACTATTCTGAAGATAAGAATATGTCAGGGCCAGTGATGCATTACTTGCTGATAAATAGCAGTAAAATTTCAATCCTGAATCATGAATATCCATGAGTCTTGCCTGGAATCTGTTCCACCAGGAACATAAAATAAAAATTGAACCCTTAAAGCTATTTCTGACACAATATATTTTTCAAACATTTTCACAGATATGATATTGTTCAATTTCTCCCACAAAAACTAATACTGGCAACTATAAGATATTTTGGAACCCAAAATCAGCATTTAATATTTAACCTTTATTTGAATTGTTTCAGTACATTCAGGAATCTCCTCATTCACCAAACAATACCATTGAGAAGTTCATGTTAATACATAAAGTAATCCATTACTATCTTGCCATTGCCAGCTAGAGCTATGGATTCAATCAAGCACACTTAGGCAAGACATTTCAACTTAATTTGTGGGAATACCCAGGACCGTTTCTAGGGGCGGGTGAAGCGGGCGATTGCCCAGGGCGCAAGCGGGTTAAAGGGGGATGGGGGAGGGCGCCAGAGTAGTAAAGGGGGAGGGAGGGGGGGGGGCGCCAGCGGGGTAAAGGAGGAGGGAGGGGGGGCGCCGTTGGAACTTCTTGCCCTGAGCGCCAACACGCCTAGAAACAGCCCTGGGAATACCACTCCCGGACTTGTAATTGCCACTTCCATTATTACTTCTTTTTCTTCATACCTTGAGGACAGGGGATGGGAACCGGTAGCGATGTTCACAATCGCCAGTCAGGACATCCCAGATGCAGACATTATTGTCTGTGGAGGCACTGAGGAGCTTGTGCCCACTTCGAGACCAGCTGGAAAGATAAGGAAAGCAAATCTTTCATGATTGTACATAGTACATGGTCAAGGCTTTTTTTTTTCTTTTTTACCTCCATTCAGTTACATGGAGATAAGGTCACACTCTCCATCTAAGTGAATCTACAGGGTGAGTCAAAAGTCCTGTCCCATCGACAAACACGTATAACTTCACCAAAATGCAAAATACATTCAATCTTTCTAATCACAAGTAACAACAACCTACCGAACACATAAGATCAATAGATCTCAATATGACCATCCTTGGCCTGAATGACAAGTTTCAGACGGTTCATAAAGTCATTGACCGATTTTCACAAGGAGAAGAGAACCCAGCAGTGCCTGCAGAACAATGTTACAGGATTTATCAGTCCTGTGGAATGGCCACCATGTTCCCCCGATGTGAATCCCTTAGACTTCAGCATCTGGGGCAATTTGGAGAGTAAAGTAAATGTGACTCATCACCGTAGTTTGGATTCATTGAAACTAGCCCTGTGGTGGGAGTGGAAGCGAATCCCTCAAGACACCTTTCGAAAATCAGTCTATGACTTTATGAACCGTGTGAAACTTGTCATTCAGGCCAAGGGTGGTCATATTGAGATCATTGATCCTATGTATTCGGTAGGCTGTTGTTGTTACTTGTGATTAGAAAGATTGAATGTATTTTGCATTTTGGTGAAGATATACGTGTTTGTCGATGGGACAGGACTTTTGACTCACCCTGTATTTTCCTAGCGAAAATTTTCATCCCAGAATTAGGCCATGTCAGATGCATTCAAATACCTCAAGGAGCAGACAGGATGAACATGAGCCGAGATCACTTTGCAGATTCCTCGAGTGAGAAAGTCCCACACTGTGATGCGTCCATCATTGCAGCCAACAGCAAGAAGTGACCCACGACGATTGAAGGCACAAGTCAGGGCAACAGAAATGGAATCCAGGATCCCATCAAACTCCTTCAGAAGTAAAGCAGAGATGAGAAGATTCTCATATTGGCAAAATTGCAGATATCTTTGAGCTACCTTAACCTTAAAGCCACTGACAGTCACAAGCAAGTTTTTAATGGTACAAAATAGATATTACATTTAAAACATATGACCCACAACATAAAAATTGCTCTCTTCATGAAACAGTCTCAAAAGCAGAAAGGAAAATAATCCATAGCCAGCAAGTGAACCCAGAAGTACATATTAGAATTTTCTAAAGGGATTTACATTAAAAATTGAATTCATAGCATATCAAGAACAATAGACATGAGAGCCACACCAGCATTCCATGATTTTGTGAAAAGACAAGCAGATCTTTCAAAAATGATAGGAAGAGGCTTTAGCACATTAACTCACCTCTGGATAATTCTGCCCAAAAGATTCTGTAAAAGGAAAAAAAAAAAGAAACCTCATTAGAACCACAGTGCAGCATTATTTCACTAGTCACTAGACACTTTTCCAAATACTTGACAACTTTCCATGGCAATTGTATGCATACTAGTCAAGCAAGAAAATATTAAAATGAAAGAAAAATATACTATTTATTTCAAGAATGGTGAATTTCTTTTTGCAGCATCAAGCTTAAAATAATATGATAGACCAAATTCATACAAACCTGAGCATAGGATGCCGTAAATCTTAGAGCATGTGTGAATCTAATGTTCTATGGAAGGTTAGGGGAAGAAAACAATCCTTTTCACACTAGAAATGTTTCAGGCTCAGGGTTAGGATCTAGCCTTATTAGGCACTACTCAATGATAATTATGATACCTATTCAAAAATAGCATGAACCAAGGGAGTCAAAATGCAGCACTAATGGCATTTAAACCTATGTTGAAGTCAACTTTGGGTTGATGCTTTTCAGTCTCACAATGGCATACAATATATATGCCTGGATTTTCCTGAATAGTCAGGAGGGCACTTTCTATTCAAACCAGGTTTTACAAATAAGCTTCCTTCTTTATGTTAGTAGCAGCATCTACATGCAACATTTGAAGATTCTCATCAGTAAAAAAAAAAGGATAACTGAGATGAAACAAGGCAAAGCAGCATATTGGTTCAAAAATGTTACCATGATACTCCGGGTATATTTCACTATGTCAACCTGGTATACCCCAACTGGTAGGGAGATTGACATAGCAAACATGAATACACCTTCCATCTGTTATATCAACATGACTCTGAGTTGAGTGAGTTAGGCCTACAGGATTATGATGTTACCATCCCCTGTCCTCCCATGCAAGCTTGTGAACATCTCTCTAACAAACTATACCTGATACTACCTAAAGTTGTTCTCAGGGGGAAGATGCAAGAAAATTGTAGAAATTCAAGAGCATATACTAATATTGTCCCTTCTTGGGTTTACTTCATGGGAGCAATATGAATCCAGGTCTGGATATAAAGTGCCCAACTCCATATCTAGTCTTACCAGTTAGCTCATGCTTTCACATAACTGACATAAGAAATTAAATGTCCAAATTTGTCAACATTTCTAAAGAACTTACAATTTAGTGAATAAAATTTTCTTGGGATAGAAATAAGCTAGGCCAATATTAACAATTTTCACATCTGAATCTCTCCTTTGAAATCCACCCAAAATGATTCCAATGAAGGAAAAAAATTGCTTTTAGTCTTTGCCAGCTTAGTTTTGCATATTCCAAAAAAAGATGTCAAATAATGGCCAATAAATATATATATATATATTTTTTTTTAACTACATGCATAAAGTCACTAATGGAAATTGAAAAAAAAAGCTAACAAACCATTGGTGAATAAGAGCCCATACAGACTCATTGAAAAAATGAGCAAGCCAATTCAGGGGGTTAGAGTGCAGCTTTTTCTCACCGGGTGAATTTGTATGGAATACCCATATTATAGTAATGCAAGCAGCACCAGTCAACAGTAAGTATTCTAGGTCTGAGTCTATACTTGCCCTCATATTAGCTTAGTATGATGCCTTGAACAGCAAGCCTATGGAAGGTCCAATTTTTCAACCAATGTTCATCTCCAACTTGCAATAAAAATAAAAGCAGCAAAAAATATATGAATAAAAGCTAAACAAAATTAGAGAGGGTTCAGAAGTAGCAAATCACCAAATGGTATAAGGTACATGGGTTTAAATATGAGGAATGTTTTGAAATGATGAAGACTGATTACAGTACATAACTTTGTAAAACAAGAAAAAAAACCTGCATAATGGAATGGGATGAGAAAAATACAAAGGGAAGTGGGAAGGGCTGCATGACCATATACAAAAGATATTCAATATATAAGGAAATGGAAAAGAAGAAAAAACCCATAGGGTGTGTCAAGGAGGGATAGTAAAATAAAACATGAGTGAAGCATAAAAAAATTGATGGGACTTTGGTGTTGGTGAGGTACTTATGGCATGTGTTGTGATGATAGGCAATCTTTGAGGTCAGTTTTAAATCTAGGTAGAGTAGTAGTAGGTAGAAGGTAAAGAGAATCACCCTTAGTTGATTGAGAAGTTAATTCCAAAGCTTGGTGCCCCTGTACATAAGGCTTCCTGAGATGCTTTTGTGGGGTCTTGTGGGAAGAGTGATTTCATGGCTGAATAAGTGTAGAGGTATATATGTGAAATTTCTGGGTAGGGAGAGTTATAAGGTAACTAGGAGCAGTTCCAATAGAGATACTGTATATAGGTTGCAAGATAAGGTAGAATGAGAGATCTTCAATATAGAGCCATTTATTATGCTTAAAAAGGGAGAGAGTGGATTAGGAGTGGATAATCCTAATATTTTTATTTAAAACTGTTGATGGAGATCTGGGCTGCTTTATTAGCGCTAGAACTAATAGACAATGCGTATATAATGTAAGGGTAGATTAATGCATAGCAAATTAGTAGACAAGTATGGGATGGAAGCTGCAGCCATGCGGAGCATGTAATTTTTAAAAGAAAGCTAGCGTTAGACGCAAGAGACTATCGCTGGACTAACGTTATATCCAAAGCCTATAGACTTTAAGCATAGAAAAAACGTGGCCGGATCTCCTTACCCAGTAGTTCCAAATTCATTCTTCTCTTTTTTTCACCTTGCTATTGGCTTATCAAACCGACGCCAACTACCACGGCATCGTAGAACGCGTGTGCATCTCCATAGGGCGCCATGCGCCTTCACATCCCAGGAGGGAAGACGCCATGGTGCAGTGATGCTGAATCATTTTCCTCCCCATTCGCGTCGGACTTGATTTTGTAAAGGTATATATTGTTAGTATCATTCTGCTTTCATGAAAAACTAATTCTGCTATTCACTTTATTTAATTGGATAATAACCATGAGAAAACAATCCCAAATCACAAGACTTTTAATCAGTCCCAGTTTCAGTTGCTGAGGGAAACAAGATGACTCAAGGGAGACAAGATTCAGAACAAGATGGCGTCACAGGAGCATTATGGATATTTAATAAAACCAATATTTCACCCGATCCCTTCCAATCTATCCTCGATACATGATTATAGTGACAGACAAGAGAATGAATTAGGAGCTGGATTTTTAAGAGAAATATCTGCTCTTTCACTTCCAGAATTGTGTTTTTTGCTCACCGCCCAAATATGTATATGTGATGGGCTTGAAACAAGCCCGAGGGCATGAACAAGCTTTAAAAGGGGTCTGAAGCCGCACTGAGGGGGGGATTCTACGTCGGACAGTTACACGGAGAAGTTGTGTCTGAGGATTCCAGACCGGGCGGACCTCCAGAACAGTTGTGCAGGAGAAGACGAGCGCTACGCGCCTTCCAGAGACAAGCGTTCCTTTCTTGAGGGGCATACTCGTCCTGACTTCCTTCAATACACACCAGGACGTGAGAAGTGCATTGTCTCCATATCTACATGATTCTTAATATTGTTAAACTACTCTGTTGATGTTATAATATTCAGTAATTAAAAGGCTCAGGGTGTATAGTGACTGACTCCTGAATCCTTCTTTGTTATCAAATACTAAGGCCGTGGGCCAGAGAGATCGAGACCGTCTGGGTCCGAATCACCCGCTACCACTTACTTCCCCTAAACTTATTGCACAGGGATCGGTATCATATAATAATTTGCCAGCCTCCGAAGAGTAACAGTAAAAAAGCACACACCGAACCTGCGACATATAGAGTACCTCTGCCATCGGCTAAACCATTCCCTTTACTCATTGTTCTCCACGAGACCATCATCACTGACTTCGGCTTTCCCCTGTCAGGCCAAAAAGATACGGAGGCCTCGAGAAATGAAACACTCGGTTCTTCCATAATATTATATATTTCCATTTGATTTCAAGAAACCATGACGAAGTTGAGGAAAATGGGACATGGATGAAACACGTGAGATGCAAAAGTCACGAGCGCGACGGCGAGCCTCGTCCATCACCCGCACGACGTCGCGTCACTCTCCCCCGCGCCACCGAGCGGCGCACCCTCGCGCCATCGGGCGGCCCCGCGAGCACCGTCATACGGCGCTCTCGAGCGCGGGAACCCGGAGGGAATCCGTCCTCTTCGGGCAAGGCTTGGAAGAAGGAGACGCAGAGGACAGGGGCGACGCCGAGAGGAGAAGAGGCTGAGCGCCCGGCTCCACCCCCATCCCGCGATCCACGATGGAGATGGACGTCGACAGCAGCCTCTCGCTCGACCAGGGACCCCGAGGGTACATCGACAGCTGACAGGGAGGCTGCAGACGAGAAAACATTTTCGTCTTTCGCATTTCGGTGATGGCGGATATTTCCACGTCGAGTTCGTGGACGTGCCAACAGACTGCAATACGATTCAACGATTAACGGCTTTTACTCTGCCCTCTACATGGAGCAGCTTACGCAAAAGTTACACGGTAATATTAAATATGATTAAATATGTTCCCAACATAATTTGGAAATTTGATCCAAATTTGCTCTTCGTGGGAAACGCGATTCCGCTCGCCTCCTTCCACGTCGTAAAACCTGAATGAAGTTTGAGCGTCGATACTTATCGATTCGTCGGAAAGAAGCTGATGGAAAACCACCTGCAAAGTCTTGCCGAAATAACGAATTTCAACATATGATTTCTTCTGCGGGATTCGATTATTATTTTAAATTAAAATATTTATAAATATTTATAATAAAAAAAACTACGCGACTTCCCAACGACGATTTCTTCCTCCGGTCCAAGACGGAACTCAAAACCGACCGGAATCGATACTTCGACCCCGAGATCCGACCAGACTGATCGCAAATATTGCAACGAAAAAAAAAATGAGAAGGAAAGGCTCGGGGAAAGTGAGAACGGGCCGAGCTTTTTCCCTCGAAAGGAGAGAAAAAAAAAAGTATGAAAGGAAAACGAGTTCGTCGGACTGGGAAGTGTACTTTATCGAGCGAAGATCTCGAGGAATGGAATTACTTTTCGTCTCGAGAGGAGATCGCGATTTCTCGGGTGGGACTCGAGGCGTTCCGGTTCCGTGCCGGATTTAGCAATCCGGCACGGAGCCGTTCGGTTTCTCGGGGAACACTTAGATTCCGCGGATTTTCCGATCGCGGGAGTAGCTGCAAGTTCGCGATCGCATTTGCACGTTTTCGCTCGCAGCGGTCGTCGCTGCTGCCGGCTGCATCGCTCCATGCGAGCGAATCTCCATCGCTTCCCTCGCGACGTCGCCATGCAACGGCGCCGATTCGCTCGCAGCGATGCCGTTTCGCTCGGGGCACAGGCGATTCCACGACCGGAATATTTTCAACATCACGCGTTGCGGTCGCTGCTGCACGACCGATCGCACCACGACCGCTCGGACTGAGCTGCACA